AGCCACCTTGCAGTCCTGTGTTCTTTCCTCCTAATTTAAATGTGTTGATTCTGTTTAGCACTGCTATTTTACTTTGATTTGTTTCCCCACTTTGACACACAGCTTTCTGCCTTATTTTGCCCTCAGTTTTAGGAGTAGACTCTTGTTGTGTTATCCATATTATATTCAGTCTGAGTCAGGTACAATGGCAAAGTCAGCTTTTATACCAGTGGCACAGCTGAGATCATTACTAACACTGAAGTGGCACAATGTCTCGTTATTTTAATTTTTTAACAAATCAGTAAGATCTTTTTTTTTTGTTATTATTTGTATTTTTTATTTTTTTGGTCTCACTCATTTGCTTATGCAGGTACTACTGCCGTGTAGAAGAACACCATGAACACTCATGTGAAGTTGAGTTTGTATAAATAGTAACATAACAGTGTTGTACAGGACTGGATGATTGTAACTCCATAAGGTTCCTTCATTGTCATAACTTTATATTTGTCTTATAGCAGCTCTTAAATTTGTTTTTGCATCATTGTTGTTTTTCTAAGAAAGGAAAAGTCAAAAAGGGTCATGGGATATGCAAGGTGTCCATTAGTCAAGCTGATTTACATAAACAAAATTTCCCTATTGTAAATAGCAGGAAAAGGAGACCTAATTGGTTTTCTATAGTCGTAACGATATATTAGCTTTTTCATATATATTTATATATTTTAGTCTCTGGCATGGTCAAGTTTCAAAGAACACTAGATCCTACGATTTATATAAAGCAGCAAGACACCGCTTCTTCAATAAACCTTTTATGTGGATGCCAGCTGGTGATATTAAACTATATTAAAACTGGTATAAAACATCAGAGGGTGGGGAAAAGGAGGCGGATTATGACCTAAATGGTTTTCCGCAGCAGCAGAGGCCGAGATATTCTGATAACAAACGCTGGCTCCTACAAGTCCAACAACACTGTGTCTTTAATAAGCCCTTAATGCCGTTTAAAGGACTCTGGAGACATTATGCAGCAGTCTTCAGCTAACAGGTCCTGCTAATGACGAGCAAAGTAATATTTTGATATGTTAAACTAATCAGTTTCCCAAGTTGCGTGGTTGCAGAAATGCACTAGGTGGCACTAGGAGCTCACGAATAACTCGACACTGTAGCATGCTTACTGAATTTGGCCACTAGATGGCAGCGCAGAACCAGGTAGTTCAGCTTGTGTTGCTCTACAATAATCCTTCATTACTCTGAAATGACAAAAGAAGCCCTTTATTTATTTCATCTGCTGAATCATCTGAGAAACATTCTCCCCCAGAGCTCCTCTCCTTGTCCCTCTCCCGTCTTTTCAGAACCAGACACGTTGTTTTGAATCATACTGAGACATTTATTTATGCAGGTATGTTTTCCATTTAGACTGAATGCAAATACAGCAAATGCACACCACCAAGCACTAGGGGAATGTAGAGCAAAAGGCAGTGGTGAATTGAAGGTGGAGGCTAAACAGCAGAGCGGCTCGATGGTCTTCACAGAGAAAAATCCTCATATACATGATCTGCACTGTGCTGGTTTTTCTTAAGTTAATGGGGCCAATAAATATTTTCATCTCGTTGAGGACTCCAGATTCGGAGGGACTTCTTTGATCCGTTCAATGTCATCACCTTTACAAGACAGTAATTCACTTCTCGAGACAGCTCCTCCTCACCTTGGACGGAGGAGGAGAGGCTTGTTTCTCCGTCTGCCTTGCGGTGATTAAGAGCACTTTCAGCTTGAGCACTGATAACTGCCGGCTCCTCGCTCCCATAACCATGACTCCAAACATAAGGCACCCATTCATGTGACGTTTCTATTGCACCGCTGTCCTTCGGATTTCACTTACTGCCTTGTCCCTTGAACCTAAAAAAAAAAAAACCTCATCTCTGCTCCTGACAGTTTCTACATAGTGTGCAGGATAATACACAGAAGTACAGATATTTATATATATATAAATACAGGCCCTCTGTCCTTCAACTCACCACCTCACCCGCAGTACACAGCGTCTCTCCTGATCTCTACAGACGTCACCTCCCATCAGTAGTGTGTCCAGTTCTTACAGCAGACAGGTTGTTGTTGTTTTCCCAGCAGTTTACAGTACATGTGCTGCCATCATTGCAAAGCAAGTGCCTTCACAACAGTCCAGTGTCATATGACCAGATAAAATAAAATAGAGCAAAATAGAATATACAAATCATCAGTTTGTGAATCTCTTGTTTCCACAGACACATCAACAGCAGGTAGACAGATTCAAGTCGGGGGGTGGAGGGGGGGGAGGATTAGACGACAAAGCCATGGTCACAAGTGTTGGAAAAGCTCCTTCGATTATCTTCCTAAAACTCTATGTTTTTGTATGTTTTGGTTACGCTTCGGTACACTTGAGAGTTCACAGTTTTCTCCCTTTAGAGGACAGAGGATAAGAATAATGGCTGCTTATTGCAAATCTCACAAGCAGTGCGCTTCACTGCTCTGGTTAACGGTAGCACAAAGTCAACAATGACGGCAACACGGCTAACATGGGTCAGGCTCCATCGGAGGGATTCGTATGTTTGATAAGTGATGCATAGTATAGTATTAAAGGTCACCCAGGATATATCGATATATGTGACGGCCAACACGCTCTGTGGATGGATGGCGCTTCACGTTTTTGTCACACAATGTGGTCTCGGCTCTGTCTTGAAGGGGAACAGGGAGGCGTTCACATTCACCACTCCTATAAATATAAGTACAAACTCATACGGCATAATTTAACAGGGTTAATCCCACAGAGAAAACAAACAAAAATAAGGAAAAGTAACCGTGTTAATCTTGTGGTTTTGAACTTTTCAGGCAGGGTGCAAACATGCGTCAAAACTGGAACCTCTGTGAAAACTTGCTGTGAATATATTTTTTATATTAAAATGACTGTGTAGCATTAAAGATGTTGCTCGTAGTAACAAACCCTCATTGAATTATCACCCAACTCTTTTCCCCTTCAGCCTCTTTTACATCCCTGTCTCTCCACTTTACCGTTTTGGTTCATCCTTTCTGCTCCCAACAGTAGTTTTCAGTTAAAAAAAAGTCCATATAAACCCTCTGTGTGCCACCTGCTCTGCACCAAACTGCACATAAAATTACCATCACAAAGGATTTTGCACCTAAAACATACATATTTCACGAGCACATTTCCTTCAAGAGATCCAATTACAGTTAAAACATGATGCTAATCAAGGCAATATTGAACAGATTGGTATCAGCATCAACCCAAGCCCAATGATTTGTTTACATCTGAATCATTTTCTCATTAAATGCATCATTATTAATCAATATTCGAACAATTTGTAATACAAACATGACATTTGTCCCATGCTGACAGACTTTGTCACGGTGCTCCTGTACAAGCCAAACCCCCACAATGCTCTCTGAACATCTCTGCTCCCTACAGCGTTAAACAGTAAGAGGTGGCGCAAACTGCTACGACAGCATTTCCACAATATTTAAAGTGTGTATTATCCAGAAAAACATCGTGGAGTGTGAGCCTGTAACAGCAGATACTAAATGATAAATAACTCGGGGGCAAAAAAAATCTAAATCAAGACATCTCTATTCCAAATCAATATTAATCTTGCTCCATAATGGTTGGATATTTTAATAAATGCTAATACATTCACTTTAAAGGATGATGATAGCTCAGTTTTCAGCTTGTTGTGTTGCCCCAAGATGGCCGAAAAAAAGTGAATCATAGCCGGTTTGAGAAAGGGCTGTGATGCTGACATGGATGTATTACAGCCCCTCACAATCTGGCGAACTAGTTCCCTAATGTTTGAATGTTGAAACTAAATTTGAGCGTGATTAACTTCGATTAACAGGTTCCAGCATGTTCACACGCGACGACTGAAACGTCCAAAAAAAAAACCACAAGAAAACCAAATAAAACCGTTTCACGATGACAGTCAGTAAAGTCAAGTAAGAAAAAACATATCATCACATTTTGTGAAACATTATTTATATTAAAATTTCTCTAAAAATCCTAAAACTGTGCCCAGAACGTGTGACCAGCATCTGTTTACGTCGGTGGCGATCAAAAAAATGAAACAGTGAAGTGGGACGAGGACACTGATGTTTGTATATTGGGACACTGAGACCAGTTCCAGTTGTCCGCTGAAGTGTCTTTATATTCTTTAGTACAGTCTGTCAGCATTAGTATGAGTCCACTGCTTATTGGCTCAGTGTTTTTCTTTTTTCTTTTTTACACTTTTTCCATAGACGTCCCATCATCACAGAGCTTCTCGTGGGTTTCGAATGTGTCCGTGTAATTTTTTTTTCATTCCCTCTGCTGTTTTTTATTTGAATCATGCAGATTATAATCATCTGATATTATACATATTTCATAAACAAGCAAACACTGAACATAAATTAGATCCTCTATAGATAAAAATGTAAAAAGCTAATAAGACAGCAGTTGATTATACTGAAGGTGTCACGGCGAGGAGGAGGAGGAGGAGGAGGAAGAGGAGGAGGAGGAGGTGGCAACAACAAGCAAAAAGGTTGCCCCTTGCCACTTGGCACCTCCCCAACCCACCCATACATCAGCATTGTCCCCATGCTTTCACCCAACCCTCCTTTTCTCTAATATTTTTGTGACAGTAGCACAGGGGGGAAAAGAAAAAAAAAATTAAATAGAAAGCAGTAATTTGTAAGAGGGAAGGAGGAAACTCATTGGTTCAAATGAGCCGAAACGTGTTTAAATAATAAAGTCTGAAAAAGGTGTCGAGCGGTCCAAACAGAAGACGATTCTCTCTTTCCACTAAGACGGCAGAGGGCTGCGATGGGCGGAGGGGGGACGGGACGGGACGGGTCGGGTCAGAGGCCGAGTCACAGTTGGTTTCGTCTAAAGGGACAGGAGTGGAGGTCTACTGCTTTATGGAACGCAGTCTGTTCTCGTGTCGGTGTGTACACAGTGGGGCAGAGAGTCCTCGTATAAGGTTGGTGGCGTACTGCAGGGCGGGCAGGAGGCACACGGCTGGAGGATCCCTCACCTGTCCCCCTGTGTCAGGAGCCACCATGTCCGATCAGGACTGCAAGGAAACCACAAGATCCATCAGCAACATGATCGTGGACAAATAATTCTCTATCTTTGTGGCATCTGTGTAGTCATTTCGTGTTTCTTTGCACCTCTTTCTATGTGGCTTTGAGATAGCTTTCTTTTGCCATTTTGCATCTCGTTGTGATCATTTTGCTTCCTTTTTTGTAATCATTTAGCATCTCTTCACATTCCCTTCATGTTCTTTGTACCTGTGATGCATCTCTTTCTATGTGGATTTGAGATAGCTTTGCATTTCTTTTGCCATTTTGCTTCCTTTTTTGTAATCATTTAGCATCTCTTCACTTCATGTTCTTTGTAGCTGTGTTTCATCTCTGTGTAGTCATAATCATTTGTCTCTCTGTTGTTGTAATTCTCTATTAATTTAGCATCTCTGTGTTTTTTATTTTGTGTCCCTTTGTAGTCGCTTTAGTCTCTTTACAGTCATTTTGCATCCCTGTGTTCACTTTATGTCTCCCTGTAGTAACTCTTATTCATTTTCTATCTCATTTCTGCATTTCTTTTGTGTCACTTTGCAGCTATTTCGTATCTTTTAAATGTAATTTGGTGTCCCTTTCTGGCCACTTTGTCTTTTTATAGTGATTTTGCATCCCCATGGTCACCTTGGAGCTCTTTGTCTTTATTTTGTCTCCCTTTGTAGTCACTTTACTTAACTTTGTGGACATTTTGCATCCCTCTATAGTTGTCTTATGTCTCTGTATTTAATTTACATCTCTCTGTACTCATATGGTACATTTCCTGGCCATTCTGCATCCCTTTGTAGTTGCTATATGTCTCTTTAGAGTCATTTTCCACCTCTTTGTGTTTATTTGTATCCCCCTGTAGTAACTTTTTCAATCTTGAAAGTCATTTTGAGTATCTCTGTAGTCATTTAGTTACCTTTCCAAAAACAAATCTTAACTCTGTGGACACTTGACCCATTAAGTAATCCATCCATTCTTATGAAATCTTGTAACCTCGTGTACCTCTGCTTTCTGCTGCAGCTCCTCAGTGGGAGACTCTGTTTCCCTGATAACCACTGCTTTTGTCACCAGCATGTCGGGATGCTGCTGTTTGGCCTCTTGGATCGCCATGGCGAGCGCCTGAGGACATAAAACACCAACACATGGGTCATAAACCTCACATATGAGCTCTGACTGCTTTGTGACTGCACTGAACATACAGTGAAAGTGTTTGTGCGATACTCCTCCTCACCTGATGTTGATCCACATCGTCGTCTCCTGTGATTATAATCCTTTTCTCGATTCTGGTCTCTGAGTAGCCTCCTTTCACAGTCTGCAGAACGAAAAAAAAACAAAAAAAAACTGGATGAATCATAAGCCTATTCCCAACAATTTTTAAAAAATCCATTTGATGGATGAAAAAAGCAGCAACCACGGGTATTATTGTTGCATTTTTGTTGTATTTTTATCCTTGTCTTTGTTTTTAAAAAAACCAAAACCTCAGCACTGTGTTTGTATTCAAAAGCACATTCATCTATTGTGTACCAGACACTTATTGGTTACAACAACAAGGCCTTCATGAAGTTGAAATAGATTGAATCCCTATTGTTTAACAATGTAGAACTCCTAACAAAGACACAGAGATGGAGGAAATCATAAAAGATGTTTTCAGACCAGTGCACTACTTTGTTGCATTACATCGTGTCACATCAAAAATTGAATTTCACGCCTTATTGTTTATTAATCATTTCTATAAAAAATCTAATTTGTTGTATCCAGTTGTTTGTTTTATTTGGCCATCTACTCCAGTGTGTTGACACGAACTGGTGGCTTACTGTACATAAGAGTGTACCGTAGGATACAGATGTGGGGGTGCTGACTCCACGCTCCGGTCATTAAACCGTAACCATGGGAACAGATGGGGTGTTACCTTGGTAACTTGTGTTGTGGTTGCTGAGGTGACGCTTTCAGCGGTGATGGTCAGTGGGGACACAACAGACTCCCTCCCCTGGGTGCTGGCTTTTACCTAAAGCACATGGATGAGAGGACAGTCAGACACACACCAGATAACACATGTTCATACACAACAGGTCCTTTTTCTGCCGAGCGGCCGGGGGTCGGGGGCCGGCCGGAGGTTAATATCACAGATCTGAAAAGTGTGTGTTGATCTGTAAAGCTCTTAAATCTGAGTGAACGGGAACAGTTATCAGGATCTCTGTCCTCCAGAGGCTCTGGACCACAAAGCTCATTTCACACTTTATCAGCTGTTTGAAATGACACAAGCTGAAGTCGTGACCAAGTCAAGTTCACGCTGCTGTTGTTGAGCACTTGATTTGAATGATTCTATGACAAATTTAATTACGCTACTGTAAGAATTAACATTCATTTAAAAAAAACTGATAATATACTGAACATACAACCATGATGATGCATCACAGTGAATGACTGGCCCTTCAATATGTGATATAGCTAACTTCTCCTCTGGATAAATAACTGAGTGTTGGTAAAAGAGACCAGGCTGAAGAAGGGAACCATCTAAAACAATACGTATTCAGTAAGATGAGGGTCTAACATTCCTTCCTTTGCACCAAGAACAGGTAAACATCAGAGAGACTGAAGCTCCCTTCCTTTAAAGTGCAGCAGTTTAACATCCATTTAATAAAACTAAGAGCTTCAAAAAAAACAGATTTTAAATAGTCACGATTGAAGTCTTTCAGGCAGAGATATGCCGACTTTTAATCAACTATGTGGGTTGAATTACATTTCCTATAATGCATCATATCCTATTTTAGGTCTTAAAAAAAGCATCTGCACTAAAACAGAATGAGACTTTAGAGAAACCAGAGTTATTGCACGCATTTATCTCAAAGCTTACATCCATATTCTTTGTTTGAAAATGAGTCATGCCATCAAATAGCAGTATTTTGGCAAAGGAATCCCTGTGATCATTTCGCCCGTGTGACATTAGTCGTTCCTCCACTTATTCAGGATGATATGAAATAAAAGGTCAAGGCTGGAAAATGAAGAAAGCAGCTGAACAATGACTGTGAGTGTCTTATTGTGCCAACACACACACACACACACACACACACACACACACACACACACACTGTCACTCTGTGATATTTCCTCTATAAAGATACTTACAGGGGAGCCATTTTCTTTAAGGGCAGCAGGAGCCTCCCGTGGGCTGATGGCTCCATAGTTCTGAAGAGGGGGCGAGAAACAGTCCTTAGTAACTTCCTGAAATAGGTCAACATACAAAGGAGAAGTACAGCACATTAGAAATTTAGAAAACAGTGGTACTTTGGTCTTGAAAAGCTACTGAGGGGAAATGTCTGGGTGTTAGCTGCTAAATCCTCCACTGCATTCAGTCGATAACTGTGGCACTGGGGCTGCTAACTTTTCCAATCGAAACTGCTCGATGATAAGATGCTCTCCAGAACTGGTCGGGGTTGGCACAAGGAATCCATTTTTATTCTGCATAAAATATAGAATTAATACAGCTTCTCAGACACCGTGAGTAAAAATCATGACTGAGGGCAAAGCTGTGTCCTACATCTATATTAATAACAGCTCTATACATTATAAACTACATACTAATTGTCATGCCGTCGTGTTTTGGCACACTTCATTATATATTGCCAGGAAATTATAAAACGTCGACTCATTTTGGAACTGTCTCACCACCACTTATAATTTTATGAGCGGCTCCTCCATTTGATTTACTGATGCACTGCATTGTGGGAGTGAATCAGCAGAACTAACCGTACAGAATATGTTGCATAAAACACATTTTGTTTGTATGAAAACACACTGCATGCCCACAGCCTGGTCAGAATCAGTATGTAGAATGGAACTGAGATGTCACAGCAGGAAAATAATGGGTGTATTTTTATTTTTTTATTTTTTTAACCTGCACATGAGTCATTCTTTATATTACCGAGGCTGGACATTTTTCACCGTGGACATTTTAGCATGCCATAGCAAGACATAACATAACATAACGACCACCTTCCACGCAGGTGAACCAATTCAAGCATCCTGGTGATGTGCACGCTGGCTCGCTGAGACGCTTAACGGATGGACTGTCACCGCTGTTAATGAAATGAGCTTCACCTCTTCTTTTTCCTGCTGCGACAAGTCAAAGGTCTGTTTTTAAATGCTGATTTACTGACAGCGTGTCTTGATGTATTAATAGCGTCGGCTACGAGTAAAGTCCAAACGTCTGCTGTGAAAACTCTGCCCTGTAATAATTTTATCTGCAGGTGAGATTACTTTTGTGGAGAAAAAAAAAGCTAAATAATTACCTGTGATGTGCTAAAGTGTGGAGTCATCCAGTCAGCAATCTGATACAGCAGCATCAGCAGCACAGCCCTGATGACTAAAGTGTATTTTATTGCTTATAAAAACCTATTTAATCAGAGGCTAGAGGCTGTGTTATTATAATATTTCAAAGGAACTAAACAGACGTGTGAATAGCTCTAATGAAAAGTACTGGACCTCCTGAATCAAAATCTACGTGTCTGGTCTAAGTTCCTCATCATTATATTTATGTAAGAGGATCTGCAGGTTTTGTATTGACAGCATGCTTCATTTTATCACTAATATGTAAACAGTCATCTCCCCGTGTCTGGTCTAAGTTCCTCATCATTATATTTATGTAAGAGGATCTGCAGGTTTTGTATTGACAGCATGCTTCATTTTATCACTAATATGTAAACAGTCATCTCCCCGTGCAGCGTGGGTTCTCTCTGGGTTCTCCGGCTTCCTCCCACACAGTCCAAAAACATCCATCCATCCATTTTCTGTACACTGCTTAATCCTCACTAGGGTCATGGGGGGCTGGAGTCTATCCCAGCTGACTTAGGGTGAAGGCAGGGGACACCCTGGACAGGTCACCAGTCTATCACAGGGCTACACTTAGAGACAGACAACCAAGCACACTCACATTCACACCTACAGACAATTTAGAATCACCAATTAACCTCAACATGTTTTTGGACCTTGTGGGAGGAAGCCGGAGAACCCGGAGAGAACCCACGCTGCACGGGGAGAACATGCAAACTCCACACAGAAAGATTCCAGTGCCCCCACCGGGACGCAAACCGGCGACCTTCTAGCTGCGAGGCAAAAGTGCTAACCACCGCTCCACCTTGCAGCCCATCCAAACACATGTTGAGGTTAATTGGTGATTCTAAATTGTCCGTAGGTGTGAATGTGAGTGTGCTTGGTTGTCTGTCTCTAAGTGTAGCCCTGTGATAGACTGGTGACCTGTCCAGGGTGTCTCCTGCCTTCACCCTAAGCCTGGATAGGTTCCCTCGTGAGGATTAAGCGGTGTATAGATGATGGATGGCTGGATGTAAACAATCATGTGACAAAAATAACTACGTCATGGAAATTGTTTACTTTTTTTTGCTATATTTGAACAAGCAAACATTTGATTCTCAGCGTCTACAGATAAAGTTGATATAATAAATCAACACCACAACAATAATTAGCTTATAAATTATTTGTTGAACCAAAGTATTAATGGATTTAATATTCGTCTGCATATTCTTATGTGGCCTCAGAGGCTAGCATCGCCTCCTCTAGCAGTAGTTATTGCTTGTAGGCGTTTTGCATAATAATTGTCCACCAGTCTCTGACATCAGCTTGCTGAAGTCTTTGACCTTTCTTTTTTGCAACATTCCTTCAGCTGCAAGATGTTTGAAATCTCCCAACGACATTTCAACGGGATTGAAATCCATACTTTAACTGTGCCATTCTATAGCAATCCATTTCTTCTTTCTGAGCTACTCCTTGGTGGATGTGTTAGTGTGCTCAGCAGCATTATCCTGTCTAAAGCTGGTGTGTACCAAACATACCTGCTGTTACTGTGGACAAACAACTCTATCTTTGATCCATCTGACCAGAACACCTTATTTCAAAAAGGCCTGCTTGTTATATTTGAACAACAACGGCACATTTTTCCAGACGCCTCCAATGCCATTAAAATGTATGTAATCTCTGACACGTGTACCAACAAGAGGAACCTACAGATCCTATGATGAAATGCCTTTTCCAGTATAGCACATCTATCTGTTGCACAGTTTCACAGAAGCTCAAATGTTGTCAGCCATTTGGGACGTACTACTCCTTTTATCACATACTGTACTCGTATTGTTGGTGAAAGCAAAACAAATTCTACTAATTCACTGCTGCCCAAATTCAAATCCTGTAACGAGCATGCACGTAATTGGCACAGAGCAGCAGCAGAGCCTTTTGTGCTGTTGTTCAGAGGCTCAACAGTCATGTCTTGTCTCCCTCTGCTGGCTGTGCAATGTCCCTGCTGGAGATCTTTATCTGCCTACACATGACGTCATCCTCCATTTCCTGCAGACACACACACACACACACACACATAGACGCTCTACCGGGGCTTACTCTGACATCTTTGAAAATTTGACTCAACACTGATCTGACACTTCAAAGGCACCCCCTCTACATCATCGCCTGAGTTCATCCACACCATTAGCTGAATGGCTAAAGAGCCCAGCGATGATTACATTTTAATAAGGCACCTGTGGGACAGTCAGCCTGCACTCAAATCTCTGCCTCCGGAGATGAACGGGATTCGCACCTGCTTTCATCATCCTCATTAATAAACTGTCAATACTTTAATCACTCCGTAATGATGCTATTATGTCATCCGAGCCGAGGGAATACGACCGTCATGACACTGGAGCCCAAAGAAAATGCCTCTTCCTCTAATCTAGACTCCAGAGCGGCGCTAAAAGTCTATGTGATGGGTGACAGACGGAATGGTTGCCGTCGTCTTCACATGCTCTTTCTAACAGTGGTGTAGCTGTACGGCAGCATTCATGTACAAAGTATGACATACATGCATCCATACATGATAAATGTCGAAAGAAATTCAAAGCAATTAAAAATACAGCATACAACAGAAGTCGACACAGCCACTTGCACATCAGCTAAATGTCAAATGACTCAAAGCTGTGTAAACGCTCAATAAATGCATTATTTCCTAGTTGAACAGTATTTTCTCTCATATGAACAATTAAATACTTTGCATTAAAAGTAAAACTCACTGCAGCAAAAGTGAGCGATCAAGTTAGAAAATCTCTGGTTACCGAAACAAATGTGGGTACATCAGTAATTTCCAATTAGCCTACCTACCTGAACACGGTTATAAAATGACCTGTGAACACCTGAGCTTCCTCAACATTAGCCTGTTAGGCTGTGGCTACCTGCATGTCTGCATCATGGCTCCACATGGACGAGAAATGGCAGAAAGACTGCAAAATGTGATGGTGAGACTTGATGGAGAAGGACACAGGAAGAACGGCGACCAGCTAAAAATGAGGTAAAACTGTTGTTGCAGCTGTAATCAGGAGGTAAAGAATGAGCCGTAGAACCAGAATCATAGCTGCAGAAATCTACCTACTGAAGTAATGATACAACAAGTGCACTGCTTGCAGCTTAGATAAATAGACAGACAAGTGCTTTAGACATGGAACAGGGGTTATCAATGGGAGTTAGAGTTTTGGTGTGAGACGGTGTGAAGGACGTTGAATAATGTCAAAAACACTCTTGTTTCCTGCAAGAACATCTTCGCTCAGTAACATGAAAAGAAGCCTGATTAATGTTGGGAGCTTGTGGGAGATGAGATCAAGAAAAATGTGTTCGGCTCAGACGAGGTCCAGAATGTTGGACGTGAAACTTGGTGGAGACTAACCACATTGAATGCATGGTCCTGACAGTTCAGCATGGAAGTGGGTCTGTGATGATGTGGCGCTACAAGAGTGGAAAAAGTGTGACATATAATACATGTAGCCATGAAATGTCTAAGGATATGCCAAAATAATGGCTGACAAGACGCCTCCCAGTCTGCAGAAATTTGGCAGAGAAGGAATATTAAAACACGACAGCAATTCAAAGCAAACTACCAAAGAGTTTCTAAAAAGACGTAAAAAGTCGAAACTATGACCAAGTATATTGCCAGACTTGAACCAAATAGGACATCTAAAGTAGAGCAACACAACCCCTACAGCAGAGAAGTGTCTCTGAAGAATGACAGAACATCTCTCCAGAAATCTGTGCAACAAGAACGATTCAGTCTGTTATCAAAAATAAAGGCATGAAATATTAAAACCATGAAAAGTATATTGACTTTTGTTGCATTGGGCTCCTACTGTGCAGCCTGTATTTTTAATGTAGTAAATTTAAACTGTTTTAAATAAAAGCAAATAAACGATTTCCTACAAATGCAAATTATTGACAGTTAAGTGGTATATCACAGAAGTTACCTTGTATAACATATATACTGGTGTATAATAAGCAACATCTTGTTTATAAAATCATAAAAAGACATGTAAATTCTCATTAAATGCACATTTACATTAGGTTTGTGTACATTTAAAAGCAATAAAACACATTTTTAAGCCTTAGAGGTGCTGTTTGGTAGATTTTGCTGCTTTTGGACAGAGCCAGGATAACAGTTCAATCTTCTTTCACTGGATACGGAAAGGACTGATATGAGAGTGGTATTGATTATTCCCATTTGACTCTCTTCAAAATGCATGTATTTCTCAAAACGCTTGCCAATGGGAGCAATTTGCGGTTCAGTGAAATCGCCTGAGGACACTTTGGCATGTGTGCAGGAGGAGCCAGGACCTGAAGCGCCAAACCAGCAATTAGCGGACAACCTGCTCGACCACCTGAGCCGCAGCATGGCAAAAAAATATATATACCACTGTTATTATTGTACATGACCGTGCAGCTTACATTGGTCATATACTGGTGTTGTTGTTGTTGGTGTACCTGTGGTGAGACATTCATGTTGTTGGGGTGGACTTCTGATCCATTCGTGTGCGTCTCCGTCTTGGTGTCGGCCCTCTTCAGTTTGTGGGCCACACTCACAGCGCTGGGGTCTTTCTTTGCCACAGGAGGCTGCATGTAACACAAACAGCACACTGAAGTCAAACAGCAGCAGGGAATTACTTCACAGCAAGTCCTCAGAAATACTTTCGGACCCGCTCCTTGCGAGTGGCATTTCTTTTTTTTATCCCCCAAGCAAAGCAATTGAAAACTGTTAACATAAGGGAAGAAAACTGTGAAATACATTTTTATTAGACTGCTTGACAACATGCAAATGGTGATGCAGCGGCACGGGAATTCAAATAAACGCTGACAGAAAAGAATAAAATAAAAGAAAACGGGCAAACAATTCAGAAAAGTATACATCAACATAGAGAAGAAAAGTTTTGATTAAAATGAAACAAAACTTGCTCCAAAAACAAAAAGAAAAACAGCAGGTGGTTATTGCACCAAGTCCAGCCAGGCAGGATGGATCCAGCGGGAGGTGATGATGATGATGATGAAGGATGAGTACATTCATCTGTCTACCTCATGATGCGTTCCCTCCTCAGGAAGCTTCTCCTCCATTGGAGACTTGTCGCGGGAGCCCATGAGACGAGCAGAGTAGAACCTGGAGGTTTCCTCAAAGTCCTCCCGGCCCACCTCTGGCTGTCGCTCCCTCAGCCCCAGCTCTGACATGCCCTTAGAGAAGTCCTCCACGCCGGAGTGGAGATCCGTGATGACGGTGAAGTCGACCTCGGCCTCCAGGCTGGACGTGGAGCTGACCGTCATGCTGGAGCACTTGCGCTCGATGCCCAGGTGCGTTTCCCTCATGCCGGCCACCGTGTCTCGCTCCTGGTCCTCCTCCGAGGCTACGCTCGGCTGAGGCCTCCTCTCCCCGAGCTCCTTCTGATGCAGGTACAGATACAGGATCACCGCTCTGATACGACAGTCGGTCAGATGGTGGGACATGATATGGAATGGGAGCATCGACCGTATATTTGCAGCTGGAACGTGTACTGGGACTGATGGACTGATACATGCACCGTCTTCAGTAAAGAATTCAATAAAATTAAAAAATAAAGCATGCAGTTACATCAGACACAATGCATTGAATGACTGTCTGGCAACGAATAAAAACCAAAAGACACCAGAAAAATACCTCCAAAATGAAATGCAGTACCAACATAAGTTTTTCTGAATCTGACCCGAATGTTCATATTTCGTGTGAGGCATGCAACAGCTTTTCAAATTCACAGTAAAAGCTAGAAAACCAGTCAAGCCACAATAATTACACTTGGGAATGGCTGAACTGTTGAAGCTGCTGCACTAACAACCATCTGGCACTCAGTAACAGACAACGCTACACCAGGTGAAAGCTGGCAAGTCAGACAACCACTGGTAGTGCTGGAAAATACTAAAATCTTTTTTTTTGTGTGTGTGTTTTTAACATTCATCTTAACAAAACCACCTCTTAATGTTGTTATTCCACAAGTTAGACACCTTTAACTCCAACTATGATGGAGCTAAACTCCTGCTAACAGCAGTTGTTTATGGATATCTATCATTATACATAGATCCATAGACAGTATCCACTATCCAGCTGTATTGAATATTTGCTTTCAAACTGACTTCTCTCTTGCAAGTTTTCCAGGAACCATCTATCTGCTATCCCACCTATGGGGTAACACGTCACTGAGGTAGGTCCTAGAAACAAACTTTGACTGCTCACGTGTAACTGAAATGTACATGATGCTTGTTTAGACCCTTGAATAAATTAAATCTTAGATTTTCTCAATTATTTAGCCAAAACCAGACTGTGTTCAGTGCGCCCCACATTAAATAACATTCACTTAATGTGAGGTTGTAAAGCTAAAATGACGATTTAAATGTATTTAAACTGAGCATAAATTTATAATACTGGTTTCATTTTTAATAGTAGATCTAGCCAGACCTCGAGCAAAAAGGGGGCTGCGGATTAAAATAAAGTTTGTATTCTTAAAGGAACTAGTTGAAGTAGTTGAGAAAGCTGAATGAATACGTGTTGTTTGTGGATGCTGAGTTTTCTCTAAGCATCCTGTGGTTATCTAAATATCTTAAGTCAGTGTAGTATCTCCAGTTTTAGGTTGAACGGAGGTTCGATGACATGATTTGTTGTGTAAAAATAATCAGTTTATATGTTATTCTTTGCTGACTAGCTTGAAGTCAGCAAACTTTTCTTTTTCCTTTTTAAGTTTAGAGCTTCTACAGTCAGTACACTAATCATTTTTGACTAAGCAGACATTATGTAACCCATAACAAGGAGGCAAAGGAGGACTTAGGAGGATTTTTGGACTCATTGAATTAAAATACAGCTCTTGTGGCAGCTGACCTCAAATGCTATCTCCGACTTTAATCGCAAATGCACTTCCTTATTAAATCACCATCTGAACTGGAACATGCAAGCGATAGCCGGCCGCAACGGGTTCAGTTCTTAACCCACACATTCAATATAAAATCTTATCACAGCAGCCTGTGAAAAGCGACGCTTCGTTCCATTCATTGTTTACAGCTTCTGCCTGTTGTTTGTATGTCAGAGGAAATTAGCGAGTTAGGAATTGTGCATTTTAACAATGAGGGATGAAAGTGAGGAAAATAGAGGATGGGTGGAGCACATGAAGGTGGATTTAAGTACGAATGAACAACCTTGAAATCGGCAAACGGCTCTTCATAGATGGCAGGAGTGGAGACAGGCTCCTGCAGGGGGAAGCAGAGGAAAAGAGCAGAGAAAGCGTCTGAACGTTAGGCACAAGCTGAAGTGGACAGCGGACTGACAAGCCAGCAAACACACAGAAGTCCTAACAGCAGCGCTCGACTTGGGCCAGAAAACATGAGCTCAGTGTGTCCTGAGCACAAAATGTTTCAGTGCAAACCTAAACTGGGATGCTGGCAGTCCAAATATACACAAACAATTCTAAGGGAATTGCTCAAGAGTAATAAATCAATGTTTTCAATGTCTTAATAACTTGAACCCAAGTTTAGGTGAGAAATTCAGCCAGATCCCATCTAAGCCCGCAGGTCCAAATGGATTCAGGCGCAAATTTCAAGCACTAATTCTACAGGAACAAAGCATACAGAAGTACAGATCAGAGGACAGAAAAGAGGTGAGCTTACTGCAACAACAAAAAAAACAACAACATCTACAGCCATTTGTTGTAATTAGTAGAGGCAGGACAAGATAATCATGCAGTTTGTGAGCAGGTTTTCAGCACAACAGCAGCCACTCATCAACCAACTGAGAAAGTGTTGCAACACCTTGAATTTCAGCTTCAGAGAGTCAGATAATATTGTTAAATGTCCAATAAAAAGGTGCTGGGGATGTATTTCAAAGCCTGTCAAAAATGACTGGATCCACATGTTTGGAGGAGCACCTAATATTTTTCCCACACTCCCCGAGTTCAATCAGATCTTGATATGATTGTCACTCGCCAGTGAGGTCTGTTCACATACTGAGCGCTACGCAACACCTCTTCTCATGCCTGTTTAATCCAATATATGCAAGAGCTTGACTCAGATGAAAAGGTGGGAAATGATGAAAGCTGTCATGTCTATTCACTTCAAATTCCTTTCATTCCAGTGCCAAACGCGTGCAAGCTCCCAATGATACCAACAGTGAAATGAAAGCAGCAAATCTGACTGTGTCAGGCACTGAGCTGTGGTGTCTGGCTGCTCGCTGCCTGCTGGGGTTTCACAGTTGGAGGAACCAGTGTGTTTGTAACACCGTTTTGACTTTCTGTCCAGGTGGGATTGAAGGAAATAATGCACCTGATCTATGATTTATTATTGCCCATGCGAAGGATCAGGGGAGATTTTGCTTTTTTTTTTTTTTTTTTTTTTTTTTTTTATCAGTTTAATGCAGTTTCTCAATCATTTGTGAACAAATCAATTCTATACTCCATTTGTCTCTAATAAATAGATAATAGCTCTCTCCAACAAAGTAACGGATGAAAGTACATTTTACCCTTTCGTTCTCAAATGAGCGATTCAATTTGTAACATTTAAATGCAATAAATTGTTTTGTATATCAAGTTTGAAAAAAAACGGCATGGAGATGTGCAAAAGTCACCAGAGCGATAACAATATGTGAGCCTGTCTTTCCGTGCCACCCTCTGAAAGAGACCGACGTGAGCTGGAAGAAAATTAGAGGCTCACAAGTTATAAAGACGAAGACAAACCAACAACCAAAACATGAGATATTGATTTCTTTTTTTTTTCTTTTCTTTTTAAACTTTCACAGCCAGTGTTGAGCTGTACAGATTTGCCAGACAGTGTGGGTGTATGTTGAGGTTGAATGGGAGGGGATAAATTGGGTTGCCATGTGGGGGAAAATGTCCAAACTTTTTGACAGATTTTTTTTTTTTTTGCCACAAGACGGAGCAGAAGTACCGCTCCGCCTGCTCTTCATACAGGCACGAACAGGTAAGATGGATGAGTGTTTCAGTCACTGAAAACGTAGAAAAAAAGAAAAATGGCGTGCGAGTCTGTCTGAAGCTCATGCGATGCTTTATTTCCCAATGATTGAATAGCAGATGCCAAGCAGAGTTACCGAGTGTCTCTTCTTGGCCGCATCCAGGACGGGCTCCCTGCCGGCATTTCGGCTGTTCCGCAGTATTAGTCCAGACTCCCTGGCCTTCTGTGTTTTCACCGGTGGGGCTGGAGGAGCCATTTTGGGAAGCACTGAAATCTTTGCGCCAAATAACTGCGTCTCCGTAGATCCTCGACCAGGCTGAAAGCTATCGTCCGGATGTTCTGTTTTAGCAACGCCTTCCAGATCTGCCGCGAACGCCGGATGGAAGGTGGACACGTCGGTCCAGTTGAGGTCTGAGGATCCCTCTGGAGAGCCGACCGACCAGCGGTATTCTCTTCTGATGACCCGCGTGGGCTCTTCCTGCCCGGTCCAGTCCCTCTCGTCCTTACATGCTACGCTCTTTGACCGCTCCGGCTTGAGAGGAACGATCCTGGTGATTTCCGACTGATAGCTGCTGCCTGACAGTCGGTGGAGGGACGTCCTCTGACCTCTGTCGCCCAGGAAGCCCTCGACGTCTTCTCCTCCAGAGCTACTGATCTTTCTTTCGTGCGTCCTGACCTGTCGGAGTTTCACCTCCGCTAGCTCCTTGTTGTCAATAAGGCTCTTCCCTCGCACCTTTATCGCGCACTCTCCTTTAACACCCGGTAATGAACTATCATGCTCTATCTTTCCAGGTCCGTTCACTGAGCCTGAATCAATATCTGCCGTCCCACCCTGGCTCACTTTTTTCTTTACCTGTTCTGCTCCTTGAGTGGAGACATCCCTGCTTTCTCCAACCGATACATCCTCTTGTTTGCTGTCTTTATAGACCCTGACAGACTGATCCTTTCCTAATCCCTGATCATCTTTCATCATCACCGCTGGGGGCGACTCGCAATGATTTCCTCTTTTAGACATTTTTTCTGGACTGTTGTCCGAGTCTGAGCCCTCATTTTCCTCCCCGGTAGAATCGCTGCCACCTTTCCTGTAGATGAGCTCTGCAGGCATCCCCAGGTTTAAGCTCTGGGGTCTCCTCTTTTTCCTCGGTTTTGAAGCGGTGCGCTCCTTTATCTGGCGCGAGCCCGGGGCCACATCATTGTTCGCCTCAGGGTCTGAGGCTTGAGATGTCTTACTTAGAGATTTGTCTTGAAACGAGTCTGCATTCTCAGATAATTGAATCACAAAACGCGAAGGCTCAGAGCATGCGTCTGCCTCTTTGAACGATTTTGTTGATGGAAACTCATCAATATGGCTTTTCGTTTCTTTTCTGTCATACCCTGTTACCTCTTTATGTATCATCTTGGCAACGTCTATCTCTTTTTCCAGATCCTTTTTCTCCCATGAGGAATCAGATGTGAGACATTTGTTCTTTTCTTCTGCCTTCCAGTCATGGTCTTGTTGATAAGGTTCTTGTTTTTCAATCAATACCCACTCCTCAGAGCCCTACATGTTGGTATAGATTAAACACAGTTAGACATTCCAAGCACAGCTGCTGCAAATCTACACAATAAAAAAAAAAAAAAGAGGGCGAAATGTAAAACTGGAACGTATTGAAGTTTTGGGACACATAGGTATTAAACTGTTCAATATGTGGTTCCTAAACAACAGACGAACAAGTGATAGTAGCAGATGGTACAAAGTGCATTGTTATGTTATAAATAGTAAAGTGTTTAATTAAAGAGAAAGAGTGAAACGCGTGCAACCTCAGGTGAAGTCACCAGAGTCTTCTGGACGAAACCCTCAACAGACAGGCTGTTAACAGGGTCCTTTCCCACTGCTCGGCCCGCCAACTGGCCGACAGGAGGCAGAGGAGAGATTTGAAAAGAGAAGGAAGAGCAGCCATTAGAGGTCAGACTGAAAAATGAGGGGAGTGAATTAGTAAGATGCACGATTTCATGCAAAGGGAAGAAAATGAAAGACAGAATCAGAGCTAACAGGACTTGACGGAGTTATTCCTTAGAAACTTTTTTTTTTTAATGAACTTGAAACTAAAAACATGCAATCCGACGTACCTAACAGCCACCAAATCCACACAACCAAATCAGCAGTCATTTGCAATGCAAATACTTCTTTTTTTTTCTGTAACTACATCAAAGAGCTGAGTTCGACTGAATCTCTTGGAAACAGTCAAAAGCAGCGATACTTTCTGAGCCTTCGACTGTCAGTCAGACAGAATAATACCACACACCCTCCCACCCCCTTCTCTGGAATGAGGCACATAGCAGATTACATTTTCTGCCGCAGACAACATTTGACATTCTACGGGCATAATCTGATTGTGCCAGACAGCAGATGAGAGATTGTCTGAAAGCAACTTAGGCACCGGCAAAGACAGAACTATCCTATCTGAAGAGATTTTCTTCAAAAGCCCAATTACCAAAATGTGATCAAAGCTTGAGATATTTTATAAAGAAAACTGTGTCACTGTAAGGCAATCAATGGCAAAAAAAAATCCTGATTATTTCTCAAGTGCCTCACACTGAGTAAATCTCAAAAAACATCTTGAATCTAATCTCATCAAGATACTTATGTGCTACTTGTCAGTCATCCTCAAGTACCTCTGAGATATTGTCAGAATTATCCTGGTGCTCCAGAGAAAGACAGACGGCACTTCATTATGCGCACGTCTTAAAATAAGCTTCAGATTTTAATGTTTGTTCCGGCGAGCTGTAATATCTTTGCACAGGAGTTACCTGTTTGAAATGCCTGTAGGGAAAACCACCTGCACTAATCCTGCTCATTTGCTCTTTTTTCTTCTCACAGTCGCATACAAGTACAGTATATCTTCAAGGTTAAAAAACACGTGAAGCAATACACAGTGTCAAATATATGGCCTGTTTTGCCAGGAGTCAAGCAGCAAGAAGAGGAATTGAACATGACGGCGCCCTGACGGTAATATCAATGGTCTTTAATGGAATGTCAAGCATCAGAGGTCCCTGGATATGAGATATTGACCATAATGGACCTGAGAGCTCTCAGAAACGAAGCCCCACCCCTCCATCGCCAAGCCCCTACTCACAGCCTTCTTCTCCGGCGTGCCAGTTGGAGAGGTCCCTGACAGACGCTTCTCGCGGTTCATCAGCTTGCTGTTGGGCTCCCTCAGGGCTCTCTTCAGCTCATTGATGCTGGCCTGGTGCTTCAGCAACACGTCCTGCGACTTATCCAGAAACTGATGGGAGAGAGAGCGCGCATGGCAGACAGAAAGCAAAAACAGAAAGAGAAAATGGCATGCGTTAGCAGGACGTGGAGACGCCTTTCAGCAGCAGCAGCAGCGGCACTCGCATCAACACATCTGATATGCATGACTGAAGGGGGCTGAGGTAGTGCTGCAGATACACTGGAGAGGATGCCATGTGAACACTGTGATGTGTTTTGTGCCGTCTGAGGAGAGAACAGACATTTAAGATGCTGTTGAAGCTCGGAGAAAAACAAAAACAAGTTATAACTGAATTAAGATTTTAAGACGCAAATGAACACGACAATCAAGGCAGTCACCGCAAAGTCAATGAATGAAGAAATGAATATGGAACACCTATTAACTTTGTTCGCTAATTAAAATCCCGTATTTAATTTGTTTGTCCTTTGGAATGATGGCAGAGTCAGCGGTGGAAGGCGTGTACACAAGTCCTGAATGGTAATGCACTTTTGAATACTGACATTGTCGGTACTTTATGTTTTTCCTACATTTCAGAGGGATGTGACCTCCTTATTCAACTGCGTTTATCTGACAGCACCGTAGCTACTTTACACATTCAAGGACACGTTCACACACATTTTCAAGTCTGTCTTTAAACAATAGTCAAGTGCCAGTATGTACACGGAGGTAGGTTTTACTTGCTCATTCCTCCTCTTGGCAACGGCGATTATTGCCACGAAATCCATATTCATTGCTTCTTTGTTAAAATACACTGCCAGGTTTATCTAAAGTCAGCGTGAGGGTTCGGCAGTTATTCATGTCAAGTTGCTATCTTCCAAAGTTATATCCTTTTTAAGTGCAAAAATCCCTCATTGTGTTTGTTATCTCTCCACTAAAGCTCAACAGGGAAACACTGCTCAATGAAACACAAAGAATGAATTTCATACAACACTGACTTTGAAAAATATCCACTTGATTCAGAGTCAAATTAAGTCGAGATACACACTATTTTGAAATGTGCACATAATGCAAACTATGGGGTTTTTGTCCCCCGTCAGTACGGTGGAAATTCATTAAGGAAGGACCTCTTAATGCAAGCAAAAGCAGTTTCATGGACAATTTTTATGTCAGAATTTGTGAGACTATCTTCTAATAATATACTGTATTGTATATAATGTGTTTTTTAATACAAAATCTTTAAGTCCTGCAGTTTATTCTACAGCTAGCTCACCTCACCCCGCTGGCATAACATGACAGAGGCACTAATGCATCAGTTTTAATAATGTAATAACATAAGTTGCAGTGATGCAAGGTGTCTTGAGTAAAGCAATAAAACAAAAATTATGGAAAACGCTGAAGAAAATTGGACGGATATTCTACACCGGTGTGCCATAAACAGCAAGTTTGTAGCAGATATTGTGAATACTGCTGTTCAGTAGTATTTTACAATAACAAGTTGTACCAAAGAACAAGCACTCTTATTGTTGATATTTTCAGTGGATGTTGCTGCTCTTAGGTTGTAAATCAAGGACTTGTATTCAACTTAACACGGTGATATTTTTACATTGTTGTATCAGAATTTTCACTTTCGTTCGAGTGCTCCTCCCCCCACCCCAATGGACAGAAAAGAAAGCAGTGATGGTTTATGGGCGCCAAAAGGAAGGAGAATGACTCATTTCTATATGCAACAGCAGCACTGGAGACTTTGCCAATCAAAGGCGGCGGATGGAGGCAGTCTCTGAAATCCTCCGAGGACCACAGATGCAGAGGAACAGCAGCATACACGACAACAAAAAAAAGAAAGGAAAGAAAAAGCACAAGAGCCGAATACAGGAACCTGTACCTCCTGTTTGTGCCGAGGAGTGGCCTCCTGGTCCAACTGAGAGAGCTGAGTTGGGGCAGGAGGATGGGCGAGCGACAGAAGGGTCAGAGGTGAAGAGTGCAGGGTTCAGAGAGTGCAGGAACAAGGTCAGATGCAGAGACAAGGTGGGAAAGTCAGTAAGAGGACAGGCAGACATACAGACTGAAGGGACACACTGGTCACTCGATACCATGCCGAGACAAATTCAGAAATCGCTTGACAAAAACATCCCAGCAAGCACTTTGAAATTCAGTAGATATAGTAACAGTGAGGCGCTTATATTTGCTCTCAAACCCAATTTCTAAAGCTGTTTTTCATATTGTAATGCCATATTGTGGAATTTCTGTACTTTGCATGAACTGTGTCCCTACTGTACCAATCACTGTCTGTCAAATATCTGCTGGGATGCTTAACTATGACAAATAGGTCTAGACACAACCTTTGCAGCATGACTTGTTTATGTGGTGCAATGCAGCATAGTTTTTTTTTTTTTTTCTATGATGACTGCAATGACAGCCACAGTTACAGTGACAAACACAGTGGAAAGATAGGCAGAGAGGGTGAGGTACAGCTAGACAGATACGCTCAGAGTAGGAAATTATGATGGGTAGACGAAGACAGTATGACCGAAAGGCAGACAAGAGACCAAATTTGTAGACACCAAATACCTCCTGTTTATTGTCAACTGGTGACCCAGCCTCCTCCTTAATGCCAGCGAAGGGTTAAGAAACAGAAAAAGCATGTTAGCAACAGAAGGCTAGGTTGTACTTCTCAGCATAATGAAAAAAAGGGTTAAAACTGTAAAACTGTTAGTGGGATTTATGAGCAGTGCAGAGTGTAAGCCTCAGCATGTAAGCCTGAGCGAATAGGAGTGAAAGGAGACGAGTTAGTAAATGCTAAATCCACCAAAGCCACCACACTATGCCCGTGCTGGATAAACCTCAACTGGTCTGACAAGCTTGCACTGCACCTATTTGCATCGTTACCTCTGCAGTCCCCTGTCATCTCTCTGCACCAAAGCCAGAGTTTTCAACATGTTGACTAAAATATAACCAACATCACCTCAACAGAAACTCATTAAATATCACAGTCCATAAGGAAATCTTTTACTACCATGATCTCCTTCTTCTTGCTTGGAGTCACGTTGCCGTCTTGGTCTTTGTCCTCCTCCGTCTCCTGGCCCAGCTCTTGGTCCTTGTCGTCCTCGTCCTGCTCCATACTGGGCTCCAGCTCCGTCTCTTGCTCGTCCACGGAGGGGCTGTGGAGACGTCGCTGCTCGCTGATGCTGCGGTGGGACAGGCCGTCGTGGTTTTCACACATGGCTGACACCGGCCGTGAGAACTCTGTTGGTTCATTATTATAACAGACAAGTCAGGAGAGTTCAATTAACATGTTAAAAGACACTTATTTGGTTTCTCAGCACCAATCTCATATCTGTCTGTTAGATAAGCACTTAGCTTTACATAAAGACAGGAGGCTCGGTCCAAATATAACAGCAAAAGACAGGCACAGTTTTTTTCTGGGAGCAGTGACTTCCTGGTGTCCTCACAGGTCATCAGGAAACAACAATACCCTCGAAAGTCACTGCACCTGGCTAAGAAACAGTCAAACCCCCTGCAACTGCAATTTCTAATTTTCCACTTCAGTTTTTGGACAAATTAAACCAATCACTTGAAAAAATGTGGAGCTGATTGGTGGATTTATTTTTTTTTGACCAGAGTAATTCTAGCTTTTGTCCCCCCCTGTTTCTTATTGTCCTCTTGCTAAGCTAAGAGTTTTCAACTCCTGGTAATGTCTGACTTTCTACAAGAAACCAAAAAATGACATCTCCAAAATATTCAACCATGACTGTAAAGGTCTACTCCAAAGTTGCACCTCAATGCTCATTCAAAACGACATCTTTTGACATTTAACACACAGATCCAGTCAGCACCACTGTTGTTCTCACCTCCGTCCAAACTCCTGGACAGAAGGTATCTCTTGCTGGTAGAACGCTCAAAGTGAGGAGCAGGCCTGTCAATGAGAGCGCTGGCCTGTCTGGTCTGAGCTTGTGTCCTTCCACTGTATCGAAACTTTGAACCCATCACCAAGAAGCCCTTCGGAGGAGGCTCTGGAGAAACCAACCTGCGAAAAACAAAAAAACTGTAATTAGCTAATGTTTTCCACTGCAATGAGGCAAAGGCAGCAGGGGCTATATATGCATTTTCCAATACACGAATAAATACAAATCAATTCAAGCAACTGTAGAAGAAACTTTACAAATACAGCCAACCTTGAATAAATGTCAGTTTACTGATTTATTTGCAACTATTCACACATTTCACTGCATTTAGTACACAAATGCATTTTGTGTTTAAGTGTAGTTATGCAAATTTTTACAATATGGATCCTAAAAATCATCACCAGTTATTTTTCTCCCCAAGTAATCTGAAGGAAACCGTATGAGAAGCATCTTTGACCAGCCGACTCTTTAACGTTGCATAAACGCGGTGCCATCTGTATGCTGGCTCCATCGCAAACTTTATTTCTCAGCCCTTGTATGTGTGAGCTCTTACCTCCTCCACACTCATGTAATGCTAAATCAGTATTCATCATAGGATCACACGCAAAGCCAAGGTAGCTATGATCGTAGCCTCGGGGTGGCTGCACCTAATGAAGCTGTGCACATGGAAGTGTTTGGTTTGCCTTCGTGGAGCCTTTGAACGGGAAATCCTCCAACCATGAGAGCAGATTGATTCTTACCGGAAGAAGGTGTGATGTTCGATGCAGACCTTCCAAAGCCTCTTGGCAGCTCTGTGGTTGGGAAGCTTGAAACCAATCGTACTTTCAAACTGTTCATACTGGAGGAGAGAATAAACAAGGTGACATGTGAAGAGAAGGTGAGGGTTGGGTTCAGCACCAGGTTTACGCTGTTGTACTGAAGGTCACCTAAGACTAAAATTTAGATCAACAGAATACATTCACAAAGAAAATCAATAAGTATGGGACATCTTGTACCTGCTTGCATGAACACAGAACTTAATCAATACAAATAGTTGTTGCTTTGTGCTTGTATAAACACTATTGTCACGACATGTCAATACATGAGAAAGCACATTTTGAACACAGGTTCTGCCAACTGGACAGAAAGAGCAGACCAGAGCTAGTAAAGATAATATCCAATGTTCAGACGCTGGGAGCAAATGGGGGGAAAACCATTTCATGGCTCTATATTTACACTCTTTATCCCTCTGTTCTGGCTGTGGCTGCAGCTGCAGCAGCTCTGTTAAAGGGGTTCTTTATTTGGCGCGATCACAGGCTCACTGTGCGGCTCTGTCACTTGACTGGGTCTTGCCCAGACAGCCTGACACACTGAGGCTCAGCATGGAGGATAAGCTGCAGCACCGCACATCACAATGAGGAGAGCCAAAATATAGACCCTGACCACGCATAGGAGCAAAGCTGGAGGAATGAGGAAGAGAATTTGTGCAAGCAGCTTCCAGCACAACTGACCACACAGTTTATTCTGCAGTAAAAGGTACAACAGAACACAAGCTTTGATTTTTCAACATTTTAAGAAAAGGCTGACATTTTGGGGATTATGTTTAATTGTTCTCTAGAAACTGAATGCTAAATATATAAGTGGTGCCAGGGGAAAAAGGGAAATGATGAGCCTGCCTATAAGTAGATCCATCTACTAGCACCTCACTAATGAACATGCTGTATCTTTATATGCTACAAAAGTACAAACAACATCTTGTGGTTTTATGTGGAATTATGTGCTAGCTAGGAAACCAGCAGAGAAGACAAAAATGTATAAAACCACAATTTGTTGTCTCTACACTTCCAGTCTTCGTACTATGCTAAACTGACCCACTGCTGGCTGTAGCTTCATGTTTATAGCACAGACATGAAAGTCATATTGAACAGGCCCAGATATCCACAGATGAAATATTTAGATCTGAGAATGAGTCAAGCCCCAAAAGAACGAGTCCATCGGGTCTTTTTGTTAGACCATCCCTCACATGGTTTAAACACCACAGACATCAACCTCCATAAACAAATGTCATGCCCTTTAAACTAATCTTCATCACTATACATACCTCCCCAGGTCTTATCTTGATATAGAAGTTGCTCCTCTTATATGAAATCTTGAGGATCTTTGGCCAGGCAAAGCGATTGATCCTCAGCCTATCGCGGTAAATCAGCAGGCCGTTGGCACAAACACCCAGCATTATTTCAATCCCTTCAGAATCCTGCGGCAGACACAGGCAGAAATTATTCGTAAGCAACACTGTATGCATTCTTGAAACCCACTTTCGCGAACGTTAAAATCACTTTGGAAACAACCGACCTTGGCGTGATGCAGGTCTACCCCATACATGGACAATTTCTTCGCATTCTCCAAGAAGTTAATTTCGGCCTCTGCTGGAGTCATCCCCCTACGGGCAGAATAATAATCATAACTGTAACCGACAACAACAGGCTTTCCTACATAATAAAGCCAAAATCATGCGCTGTAGGAGCAGAATTATCTTGGTGATATGCTTGATGCTTCAAAATTCCTCTCATCCATCCCCCCAAAGCATTATGTTTGGGCATATGCCAAAATGCAATGCCAAATCAGAGCATGGTGAAGACCTTCTAACTGAGAAAGTGTTCTCACACTGGCTCACACTGTGTGCATCTCAATCACAGATGGTATGGTAATGTGATGGCATCTATTAGCCATATGCATGATGGAGTGTTTCGATAAAACAGAAAACTCGTCGTCCGATCGTCCTACGAGATTTGTGGACGCATGAAAGTCTGATTTAAACAACAGCATGTCCAGTACTTGTAGTTTCGATGGAGCTCCATCACCCTCTCCTCCAGCTCGCGAGTCTGATTGGGGGCAAAGCGGAAATCGCTGACGTAGTCGGAGCCGTGGTCGTCTTGGTCATAGTCTCCCAGCTCGGCTTGAACAGTGTAGGAGCCCAGGAGGGCGTGAGTGACGAATGAGCATGGCAGTCGACCTGACAGCATGTCATCCCTCAGCTGCAGACACAGGTAGTATCTGTCATATGAGACAAAGGAAGGAAAGGAGGGAGTGTTGGCAGTCAAACAGGCCTGAGCCAAAGCAAGCTCCAACAAGTATTCAGCATACTTAATCCATGGCAGTTAGTACCATTCCAGAGCTAATCCTTGAAAAGGAGAGAGGGATTTGGTTTGCTTTGACACCAGGGCAAATATGCCATGAGAATTGTTACAATACTTTTATGTAAACACACATCACTTGGAAAAATAAAAAAAAAGGGAAATCAGCTGCAGAGCTGACATGTGTAAGCAATTTCTCCTTTGATTAACTCTGAAGAGTGTCTGACAGCACAGCCAGAGGAGTTACAACTGTTCATATCGTAGAAGTGTGTGTGCGCTACCTGGTAATATCCTCTGTGAGCTGGGAGGGGTCTGGAGGGTAAAACTTGACAGAGAAGGCAAAGTGCCACGGAGCATCTGAGGAGAGAGATTATAATGAGAGCTGGAGAAGCTTAAACATATACAGCATAATGGAAAAAATGTTAATTAGAAGCCAGTGTTGAAGTTGTACCTAACAGGTTAATACAAAACTTGCAGTTCAGCTGCTAGCAAACCAAATTTTATGTCTTTGCTAATTGAATTTTAAAACATTCATCTACTACAGCTACTTGGAAAAGACACTCACTGCGCATCTGCTTCTTGATCTCCTTGGAGGGGTCCAACCAGTTCTGTAAAACAGAAGGCAGAATTCACACAGTGCAGACTGGAAACAAGGCTAATGTGCACCACAGTGTCACATTTTGCTCTAATTGCCATCAGTGTTCCTAATGAAAGCCTCTCCATATGGTAAATTTAAAAAAAAACAGTGAGCCCTCCCCTGCTGAGGTGCTCAAACACGCAGAGTGGATTTAACTCGAGCATGTTTCTTCATTGTGCTGCAAAAATCACTGCCGGATGTCATAACATCTGATCACGCAGCGAAACGTCTCACTAATAGGGGCCCCGTCTCTGATGTGATCAATGTAGCATTTCGTCAAAGGTGTAGATTCATGTGGACTCGCGTGTAGTAGCAGATCAGGCTTTTTAGAGGCACGGCAATACACGGATGGCAGTAGAACGAGTACTGAAATATCTGCCATCTTACAATATTAAAGCAGTTTTATAACAGTAGAAGTTTTGGTACCAATGGGGCTTTTTTAAATGTCTGTCAATCTCATATTTCATCAGGTTTTTTTGCTTTTCTTTTACCTCGCTGAAGGTTTATGAGTTTCCATGTAATCTCTCACTGCCTGTCAGTGCACTTATTGCTTTTGTTCGTGTATCATTTCACTCTGTTACCTTCAATGACCTTCTATCTGTAACATGCACGATACTAAATCTTGTGAAAAACAGCTTTACACTTGCTATTTACTTTCAAAAAAGGAGTTTTTCCTCATTAAATCATTTTTTTAAATATACATGCATCTATAAATTTAATTTACAACCTTCAGAATAATTATTAGACCACCAGTTTTCTTCACCAATTCTGCACAGCTGGTTTTCATCATTGATCATTTTGTTCAGAATTTCATCACGATAATTAAAAATTTCACAGCATCTTCGATAAGACATGAAAAAAGTCTAATAATTCAATACATACAAAAAATCATGTTGAAAAATATGATGTGTTGAAGCTTTAAACATTTCAAAATTCATACTAGATGACAAAAAACTCTTTTGAGTTATTATTTTGCGCATAAGCTACTTATGGAAAGTCAACAGATATGATTGACTAACTTATCACTCAACAACATCTAAAAGAAGAGAGCCGTGAGATGACAGAAGGCAGCCATCTTGGTGTTTAACAGAGAGGGATGGGGTGAGAGAATAGTTGCTAACTGGTTAAGAATCAGCAAAACAGCTGACATTACAAGCTGAAGAAGAAGAAACCACAGTGTGGCTCCATCAAGAACCACAAAGGAAGAGGCAGAAATGAGAAAATGATGGCCACAGTGGTCAAGTAATTAGTTCAAAAATTTCCTTAACTTTTTAAAAGTGCAATTAAAAAGTATACATGTAATGGAAGAATGTGTGGGGGAGGAAAACAATAACTGAATGGCTGCATATTTATATTCATATTCATATATTCACTTATCTCAAGGAGGATTTACCTTTTTATAAGCCACATGTGAAGGTGGAGAGATGTCAGCGTGTAAAGAGCTCAAGAGTTCCTCCAGTTCTGGTTGGATATTAAAATGTATGAACACACTGTGGTGCATTAATTCACTCCTGTTGTTTTATGGCTTCTTTCCACATCCTCCCCTGCCTTGCATCTACACCGCTGAAATATTTTATGTTTTTTTTTTTAACTGATAAAGAAAAACTTTAAGGTCTATATTCTATCGTCTTTTATTCCAATAATTTTCCTGATGTTTCAGGGCTTTGCAGCGGTATCTATCAATTTATATAGGCAGGATGTAATTCTTTGTGACAGCCCTATTACTCACACGAGCACACATGTTTTTCTGCATGCAACATAGTTCTGAGCTTCCTGCGGTGCATAGAGCTGACAGTGATCTTCGCTAAGCTGAATACCACACAGCAGCTGCTTATTAATGCCGACAGTCTTTTTTGGCAGCTGGCGTTACACCGATCAGGATGCAACCAGGAGTATGACGGGTTTATGCAGCACAGCACGATCCCGTGGCCACGATAGGCAAACTGCAAAGGCGAAAACTCTCCGGCAATTTGCAATCGCACGCGCTCACCTACACAAGCAGAAACACACAGCCCTCCTCTAGTGGTTAATCAGGCTGCTAAAGACTTTAAAGAGCCGCAGGCATTTATCGTCCCCCCGAATCTATCTTATATCAGCGAAGGGCAAGGAGCACTCAATTAATAAGGTGCTCTCTGCTGATTTGCTTTTCTCTGCAGAAAAAAAGCAGGAAAGGACCTTTAATCACTGACCGTTCAAGGCTTCACTCTTGCTTTTGCAACCTTAGTTCATAAAGCAATCACAAGGAATAAATGTTCTCCTGAAGAGCAAATAATTAATTAACTCTCGTTCCCCCGACTGAGACGGAAGAAAGGGCATCTGAAATGACATTTCAATTCTCTGGCTTGTTTGGTGCACCAATCAGCAACTTCTCCAGACAGAAGCTGCGTCCTGATAAGCCTGTCTTTGATGAGACTGTCATATTGATCTAAGCTGCAGCCTTACCTACACTCAGAGAGAGGAAAATATTTGAACTTCGGGCCTTCAGGCTACCTCTGAACCACCTCAGTTAACCTGTCCACGTAGGTCGAGATCACACTCCAATCCAAAGCTTCTGCCATCACAAATGCATCAAGTCACAGCACGCGAGTTGACAAAGCATCCACAAGCTAATGATGGCGACACAGGATGTGCTCCAGATGTTTAAAGCGACTTAGTCCTGTCATCTTTTATATCTTCAAAAGAGTCGGGGTTTCTCTGTAGCCTGTTGTGCAATCACATACCTGCCCTCAGGGAGGCTCACATCAATCAAAACCCGAAACCCACATCACACAAAGAGCTCTCGTGTGAGCTGACAGCTAGAACCCCTCAGTTCAGTGCCATTACATGATTATATGTTAATAAGCCTGGTCTGTTCACCTTAATACGGCAACAACAATCAGCCAGAAACAATATTCAGACCCTCATTTTAAAATGTCAAGATGATTTGTGAGTTGTACAGAGTTTAATGTTGGAACACATTTATTAGGAGCCAAAGGAACTAAACCCCAGTTGACAGAAATGAAGAATAAAAGAATCAGTTTCTGTAAAAGTAGAGTCAAACAAGTTGTTGTGCTTTTATGTGAACAGACTTCAGGATTTTGTGCAGAACTGTCAACAGTTTTCATCGCAGGCTTTTTCTTCTGTAGCATCTATTAAGTGATTTTTCTCTACACTTGTTTTTTAACAGTGTTTTTGAACCACATTGTGTCTTAGTTCTGGGGGAGCAGAGGCCCTGAACTTTAAAGGCATTAAAGCTACGCTAATCAATATTTTTATATTAACAACAGCACAAATAATTCCATGTAATGTGAAAGGCCGTGTTCATAAAGACAAACCAAGAGAGAATTCGGTAATTTCTCTGAGTTTTGTTGTTTGTTTTGGTTTGATTTTCCCAATTTTATTATTATACAGGTTGTCTCTTCCAGCTCTCATCGTTCCTGTTTTCAGTCACAGCAGGCAGCTGGTTTTAGCAAAACATCTGTCCGAAACCTAATGGATGCCACCAAATGGCAGACAAGTGAGCAGCTAGCTAATGAGCATATAGCAATTAGCAGCAAAGATATGTTTCTCTTGAGTTTGAGGAGACCAAAACACAGCTAGCTAGCTAGTGAGTTTTAGAGCTAAATTTGTAAAATGTCTGGAAACGCAGCTCCAAATACACACTAATGTTTTGCATGTGTAAGTGGGCATTTTTTTGCTCACATTTTCAGAATATTACTTTTATACAGTCCACATATGTCAGTACTGTGTTCTATCCCAATAAAGTCGCCAAAAATCCATTATGCAGGTGTAAAACGTAGCACATGACAAAATGGGCATCTCGAAACCTCACTAGACCACCAAGGCTGAGTAGTTTTTTTATTCCTTTTTGACCTTTCGTTATGAATTTTAAAAAGCCCTTAGCTATGGGCTAAAGGCCTGCTAGCCTGCTAACCCTCCTGCATGCCATGGTTATGAAAGAAAGACAGAGAAGCCAGTTACTGTAACTCATTGTGACCTAACTTTTTTTTTCTTAGGTCTTCAAATTTTCCTAAACTGTGGCTCTTGGCTTCAGTCCATTAAGGTTTAACAACCCCATGAAATTATTTCTGCCTCTAGAGAAGTTCTGCCTCTCGAGAATATTTCTTTAAGTGAATTTCAAATATGCATCTTGCAAAGAGTAGATGAGGCATTTTTTTCCATCTTCAGCTGCACAAGTTATTCAAATGCCTTTTGTCCAGGCCCAGTGTGAGCATGGAAATTTCCATTTTCCATTCATCTTTGAATGATGGATAGTGTGCCCCTGAGAGAGCCGACCAAACCAACAAGTGAGAGGAATACAGATTGTTGGGCGAGCGAAGTGTTTATGCACCAAAGCGTCCCATGAGGTTATTGTGGTACACAATCCACTAACCTTCTGGCTGTCTGTGTCGGCAAAGGTCAGGCCGAAGTAGTCCTTCTCCAACAGGTTAAGATGCTCGCACACCATATCCATCAGAGTCTGTCCTCTGGAATGTTTCTGCGAAAACAAGCAAATATGACACAAAAGTTCAACAAAGGGACAAAAAAAAAGGAAAGATTTTCTCGTATAGTCCAAAAAAAAAAACCCACATGTACATAAAAAGCTATTACTACTACAGTTAAGTTTTATTGGGCAAGAACTGCCTTGCCACTACACTATCAGACTCCATTAGACATCTGGGCCTTTCAAGCTTCCCTGGTTCTGAACACAATATAACAGCTCAGTCTTTTGGTGTTGTGTCACAGTCACTGTGCATCAAACACTTGACAGTGAAAGTAGACTGTGAAATGCTGTGGAAGATTGGTCTTTGCCACTGCAGGCAGAGATTTCCTCTGCTATTGACAGAAAGTAAGGTGAACATTCAACAAATACTTCCTTTCAGATTCAGGTGACGGGTTGCTTTTTTCACTTTTCAAATAGTTACCATCAGGATGCACAAAGAAGCATTTTTTACTTACAGTGCTGAAGGTGTCATTGACTAGATTTAACAGAGATCAGTATACTGGGAAAAGCAGAAATACTGTCAAATTTAGATGATAAATCAATCATCAGTCCAGTGTGTCAACAAAAGTGATGTTTTCCCAAAGCACAGGGTAAATAAACAAGAGGAAAAGGGTGTACCAGGAGACTCAGAGTATCTGTATGAAATCCCACAATACACCACAATGTTAATATTAAAAATAGTGTTTGGAGGAACAATTTGCTTGCCATAAGTCTGCCAGGTAAGCTGCTGAATCATCCAGCTGATGTGTACTTGCAACACTTCCATAGATATTTCACATCATAGAAACCAAACCATCTCCGCTGAAAGAAACACTGGGACATGTCCAAGCAGTGCTTTGAGCTAAATGCTAACATGGTAATGGTTACCAACTTAGCTCAGAGAACCAGCATGCTAACATCTTCTAATAGTACAACTCAAACACAATATGCAATGCTGATGGAATAGATGGAATAGATAAACCTGCTGGTAGCAACGCAGGAAACGTCTGAGGCTCGCTAAAGTAACATTTTTACCAAATTTTATCCTGATCCAACCAACAAATTTTACAATAAGGCACTGGTTGTCTGTGCTACATTTAGCAGCAATCAATCCTAAAGATCCATCCATCCATTATCTATACATCGCTTAATCCTCACGAGGGTCGTGGGGGGGCTGGAGTCTATCCCAGCTGACTCAGGGTGAAGGCAGGGGACACCCTGGACAGGTCACCAGTCTATCACAGGGCTACACTTAGAGACAGACAACCAAGCACACTCACATTCACACCTACAGACAATTTGGAATCACCAATTAACATGTTTTTGGACTGTGTGGGAGGAAGCCGGAGAACCCGGAGAGAACCCACGCTGCACGGGGAGAACATGCAAACTCCACGCAGAAAGACCCCGGTGCCCCCTCCGGGATGCGAACCGGCGACCTTCTTGCTGCGAGGCGATAGTGCTACCAACTGCACCACCTTGCAGCCCAATCCTAAAGATGACGAAACATTTCACTGCAATTCAAAAATGTCGACCTAATGGTGGCAAAAAGTCAGAAAATGAATGTCTATGCCACAACAACCCACCCAAACAACAGGTGGATCCACCGATCAAGACTTGCGTGGTGAAAACCACGTAAGTTGTCATGTTGGTTCAGCATTCAGCCCACTTCAAGGTTTTAGGTTCAAAACCTAGACTGCATTTGCTTCAAACATGCCTAGCCTGTATAGAGTTTTCATAGAGCTGCTTTTCAGTGCATGAAATATTGAGGCAACATAATCAATTTATGCATGGGCTCATATGCTACTGTTAAATATAGAACAAGGAAGAAATATGTTAAAGTTTTCTCCTGGCATTGATTATACCCTTAAAAAACTCCTCTCGGTTTGATCAAAATGACTATTTTTAAGAGTTTTCCATGAAAAATAATCCCTTCATGCCTTAAAATGGCTTAAGTGTAATTCTGCCTTTATTGTGCATGGGTTTAAGAATATGTAAATGAGTCCCCACCTCTATCACCACAAACCAACTGCATGCTGTAACAGTGGAGTAATTGGGCCACACATGCTCAAACCAGATACGAATTCTAGAGAAGAGAGAATTGTCCAAGGTTGCCTCCAAGTCGATGCATCAGAATGGTCCTGTATGAGGGTACTTCAAAAAGTTCTAGGCTGCACCAGGAAATGTCACCGGAGAAGGATTGTTCTTGTATCTTTTATTAAAATACACTCCTTTAATTTCGACATAATTGGCCTACCAATGTTCAAGTGGAAGAAGGTCACATCTTAAGCCTCCAGATACTCCTCAACAGCATGAGAATGGCAACCGTGGAAGTGAGTGCCGGGTCGGGTGAGGAAGGTTCACGGAGCAACAGTTGAAATCCACGTTTCGTTGCTTTTGCCACCTGTTCTGTGTGGACGGACACATTGTCCTGGAGCAACAGCAGACAGCTTGAAGCTTTTCTCTCCTGTTTAGTGGGCGTTGATATATGAATATGCCCCAAAATGTGAGTTATGCCACTTGTTTACGGGTGATGGAGAGAACTTTTTAAAGTACCATCGTATTTCATGTGTTCATGGGAATAGATCATATAAACCTTCGACTGGACTATGTTATCAAACAGCTAACTATGTCTTGCTAATTAGATAAAGACTGCTCACAGTTTGTCCTCTTCAATTTCTCTTCTTCTCTGTTTCTCCTCTGATACAAAAAGCCCGACCCCACAAACCCCACAAGTCGGTGGGACCAGTTCCTTCGGTTTGCCATGTATGAAACCTTGGCTGTCTAAATCCATCTTCATCATCAGTGTCTTCTCACATACAATAAACAGGATATTGGACATGATAGCGAGGCTATGAACTTGTTTTTCATTAGAACGGGTCTTTAATGCTTAAACCTAACACTTAACCACAAATACATACTCTTACTTGTCGTACCGCCTCCCCTTGAGCCTACTTTGTAAAGTGACAGGGAGCCGGAGCAAGCAGTTGCCAGGGAAACGGATGCAGCATTATCCCTCTGCTGTCTTGTTTCTTAATATCTCAAGGCTAGCCTCTTGAAAATGTTTTTTCATTTTTGCCATGAACGAACGGTGGGGCAACACTTGTGAAGCACTTAGGATGTACAGCAACGGCGCGCTGTATGATATCAGAGGCAGACGGCAGAATTAAATAAGCAAATCAAGCACTTGGAGTCCTAACAAGCCATGACTGAGGTGATCCACTCTGTTTGTTTTCTGCTCTGGAGCAATTAAACGTTCAGGTGTAAAACAATGATCTCAGTTTTGCCACATGAACGGACACGGGAAACCCCCAGATAGAAGTTTGGCGATGTAAAACGACAACAGAACAGTATGCAAAACTCAGTTCCACCCAACACAACGGCCCAGCCAGGCTTGACCACGCTTTAGAGGAGGTTGGACGAGAGGAGTGGGTAAGGGCGTGGTGCCTCCTGCTCCGGGACGCTCAGGGGACGCTCAGCCACGCATCCATGACAAGAGACTTAATTAACCCACGACTACGGCACCTCCTCCAGGGAGAGCCCTCCCAAAGCGTGGCCTGCTTTCTCACAACACTATTATTACCAACTCCTGGAAGTATGAGGGAGGTTCAGATATGGCAGGCATGAAGTTCCACCCCACCAATTACAGACAGGAAGCAGGAGCAAGCCCGTCCATGACCCGGAGATGTGAGTCTCTCGACAAACTCAAATAAAAAAAAAAACACATGAATTGGCAAGAGGTTGCTTTGTACATCCTTCCCTAGCAACGACTGTCACCGCTGCGAGGGCGGGCGAACATACAGGAAGAGCACTTAGGATACAAAAGCTTTCGTAACCATAAGGCAAACTATTGTTGCGGTGTGGAAAAAGCCCAAATGCATTTCAGAATGTTTTCACAGTGCTGAAATAAAGGTTGGTGCAAGCATCGCATTCCTGATGGTCTTACCTCACACACACTTGCAAAAATAAAAAAGCACCCCCATCATCATCACACACACACACACACACACACACACACAGAAAGATCCATGCACGTATGCACTCCGCAAGTATCCTGAGGGCTGCCTCGTAATAACATTGCTCTTCTATTTGCTCCTTGGCTGCACCTGGCTTGCAATCATGTAATAACTATGGATTTCTTAACAGCCGTTTAGCAGCCTGTGCTGAGGCCTGTTTTAGGGGACAAGGGACCAATCAGCAGAACACATTTAGAGAGTTTTTATTACTAATGTAAAGATGAACTCGGTGTTGATACCAAAACTTAGTGTGGAGAATATAAATATGATTACACCTTATTTTATTACAATCAGTTCAAAATTGCGCTCCAAGAACACGACCCCTGTACAACCACAGCTGTTGTTTTTACATATACAGTCGTGACTCGATAATTCGACCCTTAACAATGTGAAAACCGTGCTATCCGACAGGTTTTTAGGAATAATGAATGGAGCCCATAAAAAATAGCCTCAACATACCCACAGCCTTGGATTCCGACTCCGACATGACATTTTATGTCACACATAAGGATAACAGTGTGTTATCTGACTGAACAATCCGACCGATTGGCTACATTCAGACTGCAGGACTTGATGCTCAATTCGGATTTTTTTTTGTGAAATCCGATTTTTTTGCAAGTTCGTTCATATTTCCAATTAAATACGACTTGTATGTGATCTGCTGTGTGAACTTCATACGACCCAAAAGTGTCCCGCAAGCACAGAAGAGGACACGACGACGTCACACGCATCGAGCGTGCTCAGTGTTTACATCAGTAAACAGCGTATCTGCCACTCCCCCACCGCTGCTGCCGATGGTGGAAACAGAACTGTAACTGCTAACTAAACACTGGCATCAGCAACCAAGTACTGCCTGTCCGTTCCGGCCACTTCCACCCCATTTGAGCGCTCTCCTGGGGTGGAAGTGCCCCCCGACCGCGCTGACTATTCGGATATTCAGCATTAATTGGACCTGTGCTGTTCAGAGTGTCATGAAAAGATCAGATACAAGTCACATAGGAGGGAAAAAAAAATCGGATTTGGGTCACTTCAGCCTGCTGTCTGCATGTGATGTCAACCGATGGGCCCGTGCACAAGCGCACCAGTCAATTAGACGTGAAATCCAGCGGTGTGTAGTGTTCTAACAACACACTAGTTATTATAACAACTGTAAACAACAAATATTAACAACAAATTATCCTTCAAGCATCAAGCCCTTCTTGTATCTCGACCTCCATCTTGACAATCCGACAGCCTAAAAGAAGGTCTTACATTTAGTGTCGGATGATCGAGTCACGACTGTTTCTCCAGTGTTTCTATTAAGCTAAAGCAACTATCTGCAGGCTGTAGCTACATGCTGTACTAAATCTGGGTGTTTTTCTAGACAGATTCTCTGTTCGTGAAATTAAAAGTTGAACTTAAAACAAAAAATAACTTCATCTCTGTAGTCAAGTTAGTGGTTAGAAATTCTTTCCTCCACAATCCTGCAGAAAGATTTCAGAAGAAAAAAAAAGACAGATCTGTTCTGCTCGGGGTGCATGCTGCTGCTATTCATAAAACCTCCAAAAACCTTCGATGTGATGCTGTGCATTTATTTAAGGAAATGGTCTTACATCTGTCTTCTTTCTCTTCTCTTATGCATGCCGCCAGTCTCCTATCCCAGCAAGTGGGAAATGCCCTATTTCACACTGCTAGAGTAATGACAACAGATACCTTGAGTGGAATGAAGACTTTCATGCTGAACTATTTTTTATTTTTTTTGTGCCACTGTGTGTATTACAGAAAGATGTAACATTTCTTTGGCTTTCACCCTCCTGGTGAGCTCTCAGCATGGCGTCCTCTCTTTTATTCCCTCTGCCCCTTTTATCCACTCTGTACAGCACCGTACAACACACACAAGCTACCCGCATAGGAAAATAACAACAAAGGTAAAAAATAATGTTGCTTTTTTTTCTTTTTTTCAGCGGTTTGCTCAAAGCATGTAAAGCCTAATTCCAGAAAATGTCTTAATGCAAATTGTTTTCTATTGTGCTTACCTCAATTTCTCCTTCAAACTCAGAGGAATCCAGCAGCGTCACTTTGAAGGGGGCAGTTTTGAGTCGTTTGGAGCCTTTCTGGGGAGATTTGAGGTTCTTGTTCGGTGAGGTTTTCTCAGACATGTCATCTGTTTCTCTGTGCTCATCGAGGTGCTTGGAATTGTGTTCCTTTGTGTACAAGTAGAAAAAAACAACAAAAAAAACAAGGGCAGTCAACTTGCGCATTTGTAGATACATCTGTAACAACACATCGGTGTCAGACCCTTCAGAAAAGAAAACATTTTTACATTTTAAATTCTCGTCTTTAATTAAAACACCAGTAGTTTCACAATATACATCATGCGTCCTGGGCGAACATCACAATGGATGCACAATGAAAGCTGACAGTACAAAGTCAGCATAGTGGCTTTACTGGATTTTGTGCAATATACTGAAATACTGAAACATACAGTCTAATAATGCATGTGCTGTGAATGGCACAATGAGTTATTAAAGTAATCACTAGGGATGCCACAAGAACTGATACTTCCAGTTCCAGAGGAACCAGTTTGACAACAAAAATCTGTCTCTGGTGCTTATTTTCTATTGTTCTAAAGGTACCGAAAGTACAGCAGCTTTTATAGACGGGCTGCTGGAGATTGTCATTTGTCCAAAACGGCGAGGGCAGGCAGAGCAACAGGTCTGCTATGACTTGTGGCAGCTGGCTGACAATGTGAGCTGGGTGCAGTTGACAACATTAGTTGGTTATAGGCTATATATAAAAAATGAATGTAGTAGTCCAACTGTATAGATGTCTATGACAAAACTTCTTCTTCCTTGATTTGCTACCTTAATAAACATTTCCCTAAAAAGTCTATGGTCTCAGTTGTTAGCTTCAGGACGTTTTAAATACAACATGATGTTTATTTTGTAAATTATGGTCCCATGTAGAGTAAAATGGACTATAAGTAAAAGTTTGTTTTAGGGTGAGGCTACTTTGTAATTGGTAGGTCCCTAACATATCACAGTGGATAGTGTTGATGTTCTCTGTCACATACACCGCCTGCTTGTTATGTCCAGTTATAAGCGACCAGACTGAAGCTAAACTCAGGGCTTCAAAACAACAATCCACAAACCAATGGATGACGTCTCAATGGCTACGTCCATCTTTAATATGCAGTCTATGTTGCTGTTGATGTTCAACCGGGCAGAATGCATGTCTGTAGTAGCCTCTGAAGTTTTCCTCATTTTTTGTATATTCATTACACTGAGAATATATATATATATATTGTCTAGCATTCTTTTGTAAATATCAGGCAGCCACAGTGGAAATGCTATCTATGGTTTAGACTGGTAAAAAGGAAAAGAGGTGATATATCTGACGTGACACTTCATAAAACACCATTTAAAAATGATGCTTCACTTCATAAAAATAACATAAAACTCAAACTAGAAAATGCTACGCTAACATCATAGATATCTTCTGTTTGTGTTAGGGCTACTAAAAAAAATAGTTTAAATCATTTAAATGCATGCATTTTTCCATTTAAATAAAACAAAGTCAGACTTGTATATATATATATATATATATAAAAGGACTTTTTCACTTTCTACTATTTGACCATTTTTGTGCCTTAAACTGTTATTTTTGGCAGCTATGCTATAACTCGCGCAACTTGTGTGATTTGGTGACTTTTTGTTTACACAGCTGTCTGATTTGTCAACAGCCAGTTTAGCAACTTACAAACTAAAAGTTAACATTGTCTACATTCTTTTTTGGGGGGGGATTTTACACAATCGCTGGTAATTCTGTGACATTAGCAATTATTTAATAGCGATATTAGCTTCATGCTAACCTGTTTCGCCATCTTGCTGTCCGAGGCTGAATCCTGCATGCCTGCTGCTGCCCCCTGCTGTCTGGGAGGACTCCTAGCTCGTTCTCTTCACCTCCGGGCCTGCCTCTGTCACTTCAGCAAAGTAACACCAACCTGAGAAGAGACAGGAACATAATGAATAGAAATATATATACTTTTGTACAAAGACAGCTCAAACAAGTAGAGCCATTGCTCCAAAATGCAATGCCAAAGCCATTATTGCGTTGCTTTTTTCTCAGAGTGTCTGGGGGGAAGAAATGTCAGGGGAAAAATTCCAAACATGAATGCATTCAATTCAAAACGAGCCTGAATCACACTTCCATTTCAAATTCTGAAAACTGTTGCTCAGACGTATTTCACCTTGCCATGAAGGACATTTACCTTAATTACAAAATCCCTCAGTGAGCCAGATAATGATCATCTATTTAAGCAAGACGCCCTCCAACACTAAGAGTACAAAAAAAAAACTCCACAGTGAATTAAACCATGAGCCTTAGTGTCAGTACTGATGGTCCATTCCTCCAAATACAAAGGTGCTGTAGCCAAATGATACCATAACTGTAAAAGTAATTGGAGTGTATGCTTTGTGTACAGTTGTTACTAAACTCCTAGTGCCACCCACTATTTGTCAAATGAAATCAAACGCTATTGAAATAAATCATGACATAACGAAGCATCCAGTATAGAGCAGCTGCTTTGTTTCTGCTACGCAGGTTTATTATGCATCATCAGTGTTTTAAGTGCTTTGCAATCAAGTGCCAGTTTCCCTGGAAATCAGTTGGAGCTTGTTGTTTCAGTGATAGCTTATAGGTGTGGATGGATAAAGCGATAACCACAAGGTAAGTAGTTCAGTAAAAGTAGAAAGCAGCCAGCTTTGGAGAGGTGTGGACTGTGGGCACGTCTAAACAGACGCTCTCAAGGACTACGAGGAGCAACATCACAGGGCAGAAATGCTCTCTAACAAGAAAAAGTCAAGCATTAAAAACCAAAATTAAATTAATTTAAAAAGTATTAGCATCAAAATATACTTGACGTCCAAAAAGTAAAAGGACTTATTTTGCAGAATGGTGCATTTCAGAATAACTGATGGTACATTTATGGATTACAATCACTGATGTTTTATTGTTTAAGCATTACTTTACTGCTACTGATGAAAGTGGGGCTAAATTAAATATGTTATAAACTGCATTGGAGCTTAATGTATAATCAGATTTCATAATATATTAATCGAAGTTTGTGAAGTAGCTCGAAGCTAAAACGGTCACATACATATAAACAAGAGTACAGTACAATATTTCCTTTTAAAATGTAGTGGAGTATAAATTAATATGCAAGTAAAGTACAATTACTTCAAAATTGCAGTAACATACAGTAAATGTACTACATATAAATGCAAACAGCTGACAGCTAGCCTAGCTTAGCATAAGATAAAGAGTGGGAACAGGTGGAAAAAGGTCATTTTGCTTCCAAACGTATGTCTAGGAGTCTCTAAATGACACATATATGCACTATATTCACTGGTTGCACTGCATACAAATGCAACCAGCTGACAGCTAGCCTAGCTTAGCATAAGATAAAGAGTGGGAACAGGTGAAATAAAAGTTATTTTGCTACCAAACTTATGTCTAGGAGTCTCTAAATGACACATATATGCACTATATTCACTGGTTTAATTCATCCAAAACAGAAGTAGTAAAAATTTTAATTTGAATTTCATGTGTGAACTATTTCTTGAACTAATAACATCTTGGAGGTTAATTAGTGAACTTTACAAGCAAGGAAGCAGAACCAGGCTGGCTGTTTTTATTCTGTGTGCCAAAAAAGTCAAAAATATTCAGATTACAGTGTTCTAGCCATAAAATGTGCAATAAATAGACCTAAATTGCAAACATGCATTGTTTCATATAAAAAAAAAATATATCATATAGTTCTGTTAGGAAAAAAAAAAGTCAAGGCTTTCTTTGTGCATTATACCAGGCGTACAAACTAGCAGGCTTAACAATGACATGCTTTTATGGATTTTATGCTTCTACTGTGCGTCATGATAATTTTAAGAGTCAGCTCTTTAAAAAAAGAAGAAAAAAAAAAAGACGGTCTAAATCTATGCTGATGTATTCTGCTTGCACCATAATAAAAGACTTGAGTTTTAAGAATGGAACCTTTTTTTGTGTCACAGCTTGGAATAGTATTTTGTCCGCATTGTAGATTTTCCTGTAATAATTTATGTTCTCTTTTAAGGAGTCTCGTTTCACCACGGCAACTGTATATTTGATGTGTTGGAAGCCCTCGTGGGTTGGGTACTTTTGAGTGCATGATGCAAAAAATAAAACTCACATTGTGCGCATTGCTTTGTCGTTTATTAAGGAGAAACCGACAGCTCTGCCTCCCCCACAATGGATTTCTCTGTGATTCCCGAATATTAGCAGAGAGCGGCGAATTAAAAACGGCGCCTTTGAAGACACAGAAAACCTGACGTCTTACTATGCATGATACGGTTGTTAAGAAGTTCCTGCTTTTAAACTCCATTGCACAGATAGGATTTGTCTTTTTTTTTTTCCATTCAATTGAGAAAAATAAAGAAGCTGCTCATCTCAAGGTAACCCCGTGGACCGGGTTGATTTGTCTTTAACCACTCGGTAGATTTCCCACAAGAGGAAGACGATGCTCGTGACCCTGGAACATGTTCTTCCGTGACCTCTTATCAAAGGAAGGCGAGGTACATAATATGTGAACATATTCTCAATGGGATCTGCTCAACACAGCATATAGGAATAATGCAACGTATTATAGACGTCCCCGGAGAGTCTCCAGGGCCTTGCACTGTATATAATCCAGGCTCTGTGTGACCCTGGTGGTCTCTCTGCCCTATGAGCAGCAAATCACATCAGCATAATGCACCCGGGGATTGTGGGCGATCAAGGACCAAGGCGAGAGCACAACCGGTTCACGCTGGTTCAGAGGAGAGACAGCCCCATTCCGACTCCGAACCAGGGAAGGTCTCGACATATTGCAACGTGGTTAAAGGAGTGTGAACCCCTCCTCTCGCTCCTTCTCCTCCTCCTCCTCCTCCTCTCTGCTATCACAGCTATTCCATTACTTACAATCACAGTGATTCGACAGAAATGAATTCCTCTCCTTGGGGACAAAAGTGAAGCGTAGAGTGGTATGTCCGCTCAGGGCCTCATTTCCCCTCCCCATCCCCGTCGCTGTTTCATCTAGCTGGGCACTGAGCTATAAGTTGCTAAATCAATTTTCAGCCATTGGCTGAATCGTGGATATGACTGCCAAGTAAACTCCCTGATTGGAGAGGGGGAAAAACTCTGCCAGTTATCGCGTTCTGATGGGGCAAGGAAGCAAACACACCACGCCGCCGTGTCTTACCGTTATCGCCTCCAGGTCCGATTCAGTCGAGCTGAAAATAACGAGAGCCTCCCCTGTGTGCATTACAGGTGTGCGCTTTCTCATCCAGTCCAAGAGAAACAGAAGCTGACGTCCACCCCCCCCTCCTCACTTAACATCCATCTGGGCTGCATGACACAATGCATTCATCTGCAGCCATTTGTGTGAATATAGCTGTCTCAGTTGTCCTGAAAACAGCTCCGGTCTGACCGTCTCCGTTTCCCCACGGTGGACATTTTTCAACTTCTGCTCTGAACATATCACCGAGCACAACCGCGACACATTTCATAACGGTACCCGAATCGATAGTTACCGTTGCTTTGAAGTGGTCGTAAAAGATTTGTTCGATTCGTGTCAACCAATAATTGCGCGGGCCCTTCAAGGACACGTGCGAGCGGATGCACATAACGGAGAATACAAATCACATAATCCAAAGTTAGTTTGCAGTAAATGGGGTCCCTTATTGAGACATCTTCTCATGAAATCAGATTAATTACCAAATTAACACAGATTGATGTCACAGAGTGAGGCAGTGGAGCCCTGCGAATGCATTAATTTCCTGTAACAGACCATTACCCACAATTGCCTCCATCAGCCCAACGACTGAGACCTCTGCAGTGGAGAAGAAAGAGCGTTACAGTGCAAAGTGTGCCGCATGTCTCCCTTTTGTTGTACACTACGTGCAGTTGACTGACAAGGTCTGTCTTTTGATATCTGCCATCAGCAATAATAATTCATCACAGAGAAAAGCATATTGTTTCCTTGGAGGGTTGTGAAACGCTACTCTTCCCTAACAAGAGCAGCCTTTTCCCTTGTTTCTCCTGCCTCTCTCTCTCTTTCTCTTTTCATACTCATCAGAGGTAAGCTTTAATCTAAGCCAGGCAAGTGTAGGGAGAACGGGAGAGGGAGCATGCATATCTGTGGAAGAGTACTGGCTCGGCTCCGAGATGCAGTTGCCATGGTAACAGCATAGAGTACTCTTTTTTTTTCTCACACCCAATCCTCTCTCTCTCTTGCTCTCTTGCTCTCTCTCGCGCTCCACAAAAGGAGTGACAGAGAAACAGAAAAACCAACTGAACAAGGAGGGGAAGACGAGAGGCCAAAAGATGAGGCGGCTAGAAAAGACAGGAGGATCAAGGATAAACGGAAAAGATAAGAAATGACAAGAGGGAGGAAATAAGCTGATGTGGCATCACGACTCAAAGGAAATGTCAAGCAGCCTCCCCTCTGGTTAGCGTTGGAGGAGCTGCACACACAGGGACGATGGGAAGGCTGGGGCGGAGATGCAGGCCGCCACCGTCGCTGCTGCTGCTGCTACTAAACTCCCTCTGCTCTCTACCAGCAAACACAACCGGCTCCCGATCAGGGGGACTGAGAGTGCACGGTCATCACTATTTGGCCAACGCGCCCTATAATCTCATTGTACAATCCGTGGCTCTGTGATCTTAATCGCATTTGTCCATTAGCATGCACTGAGAGTGCCATGCCGTTGAGTAATTGCATAGAGCACATTTGGAAAATAAGAAAAGACAAAACAGCCACTGCATGCTAGCTTTAGATAATGTGGGGAACAAACACATGCAGCCAGAACGAAACATGCACACGGAATTAAAAGTATTAATGTTTGATGACGATAATGATGCAGCCGTAATGATATGAAGCATGCAGATGAAAGGAATACATTATATTACAGGTACAGAGAGCCTGAATGCTAA